TGGTTTATTATACTGTCATCATGTTCATAAACTTTGTACAGCTTGATCTCTGTAGACATATCAGAGAGGTGTAAATTGTCCTTTATTGGTACCTCACATTACCATGACTGGCTTAAATTGGTCTCAAGTCAATATCAGCCGCGTCATGACAAAACCAACATAATGGGTTTGCGACCAGCATGGATCCAGACCAGCCTGCGCATCCGCGCAGTCTGATCAGGATCCATGCTGTTCGCTATCAGTTTCTTTACTTGTAATAGAGTTGGTTAGCGAACAGCATGGATCCTGATCAGATCCATGCTGGTCGCAAACCCATTATGTTGGTTTTGTCATGACGCGGGTTCAGTTGTGTATATAGGAAGCTACATGTTTTAGCTTATAGACTCTTGATTCTGTGAATCCCAGAACCAACTAGTACTAAATTAAAAGCAATAATATGCTCAATGAAGCAATGCCATGCTCCTGTCTGATTTGAACCCACATGGTCAGCAATCTTTAAATTACTTGTCCAACAATCACGCTGCCACTTAAATTGATCTTCTCTGTAACTCTATATTCACTCCTGGTGTCTTAATTTTTACAATTAAAAGAGTAAGAGGAAAATGAAGTGTCTACTGAACACTGCTGTGATTTTAATTCCAAAGCGTAACATTTTATTTGATTGCATGTACATCTCTGAAGAGTAACACTGATGATTAACTATGACATCAGTCTCTCTGGTTGCAGGCATGGAAAATTCAGTTGCTAACAGCAGGGTTTTTTTGAATAATATTGTGTTTCCTTCTCATTCAACAATGTACAGTCTAAATTCAAAGCATCATGTTTTTGTATAGTTTTGTCCATTTTACATTTACTTAACTGCATTACTAAGAGGCAAAATGAGTCATTTTTATGACTTTCAGTATAATTGTTGTACTACAATATTATCAAAAATTATTCTATTTTGAAAGATCACGATTACTTTTACCTTATAAGAGCATAATTATTTATATATATCAGCACTGATACATTTCCAGGATTTATTTGGTCTAGAAGGTATAGGATTATTTTGACTGTCAGATTTACATGGTTTGACTGATATTATAGTAAATAACATTAACTTAATCTGATTACAATAACATGCCAGATCAATTAAAAATTCCCATGATATCATTTTTGGATAATTGAAAAGAATATGTTTAAGACCACTTAAGCCTATAAGTCAATAAGTAATGGGTGACCATAGCTGTGTTAAAGTAAATAGAATTATGGAGATAAGAAAGGAAAAATTTAGTCTTGATCTGTTAATAGAACTTTCAAAGATAAATGATTAACACAAATGTTAAAAATAAGCAGGGAAGGAAATGCATTACAAGTTTAAACATGCTGTGCAAACAAGACTGCAGCAATGCAAACTAATAAAGTAAACAATTAAAGGGGATTTACATAATCTGTAATAGTAAAATGTGTCAGATTTTAGAGAGTAAACATTTGGCAATATTCTTAACGGGAAAACAAAAATATTCTGTCTGTTTCCGTCTTAAGGGGAAAAATATAATTGATTTGCATAATTTCCAGACTTCATTTGACAAAATATTATAAATTTATTGTTTTTCATTTATAAAATTTTGTATATTACAAATTTCAAATGACCAGTATCCTCGGAAGATCTGAGTGATAAACAGACTAAAAGTAATTTTGAAGTAACAGTATTAGTATATGAATCCTTAGACTGAATTACCGGTAACCTAATTGCAAGCTGTGCAGACAAGAACATGGTCTCCACTGTTCACTATTAATTTATATCAGTACATATTTTTTAAATTTTCATCAAAAATGATAAATGGTTTGTCCAGATTGAAAGCTAGATGAAAGTCTTTTTAAGGTTTTATTTTGGCAAAGGTCAAAGAAGACTATAAATCATGTAATTATGATATTTGATTATAAGAATGATATAATTATAACAACTTGTTAAAGGTTCAAGTAATAGTGTTAGGGTCCAATTTTTACTATTGATACAATTAAATTGTTCCAATACCTTAACAGCATAAGAATACAGAACTGGCACTTAATAAAATAAGAAAGTTAATAAATGTCAATATATTATAAAGCAAAATCGAAACTTGTTAAAAGAATTGTTTTTCTCCATTGGTCATGTCATATGTCAGTTTTAATTTCTGTTTTATCTGATTAAAAAAATCAAAAATACTGAAATATAATACATGCATTTTGCCAGTATGTGGTTATTTTACAATCTGAGAAATTAGTTTTTTTACCTCTGGGAAAAATTTTGTCAATGTTTTTTTTCAGTGTTCAAAAATTACAGCTGCACTGTTTATTAAATTGCAAGTTTTATGCCTACTGTAGGGGTGGGGGAAGGATACAATAGATGTAATCTATCCTCCCTGTTTAAGTTATAATGCAAGAACTTTAATAAAAGTAAGATAAAGTTATAAGAAATCCTAGGATATACTGTAGTTACTCAACTTGGCAGGGCTTCTTATGAAATATAAATTAATATCAGTTTATTTATTTCAAAAGGGCAATTAAAACTCAATTTAGAATTGCAGGTAAAGTGAAATAATCAATTTTTTGACATTTGAAAGGGAAGAAAAGTTGATGATCTCAATTTTAATGTTTTCATTTCCTGCTTTACTTTATGCAGTTGACTAAAACGAGGCCTATTTATCTTGAAAGCACACTGTTTAAACAGTAGTCCCGCAGCGAAAGTACACAATTCATGGATAATGTACTATGATCAAATGTGCGTTATTTACTTGTGCCCTAGGTACGCTAGATAAAACTTTATATGAAAAAAAGTTAAAGATAGATAACTTGTTTAAACATACGCTGAAGTGTAAATTGTAAACAAAGAAGAATTTTATTAATAGTGATGAAACATTATTCTGTTCTGTTACATGAAGAATATGATTAGAATGATTATTGTTTGTCACATACGGTGAGCCAATCAATGAAAAAAGTATTGGTAGAAAAATCCATCTTTTTTTGCAGTGCCAAAGGTATGTAACATGTAGCGTTTCAATTCTAGGACTTAAATATACTCAAAAAAAAACTGTCCAGGTGTTCACACTTAGACTTGTCATCAGAGACATTGTGAAAATATTTGATAGCTAGGGGAAATGCTACATTTTTAAATGTAATAATTTGACAGCAAAGAAAATTCAAAATATATGTATGGATAGATCAACAAATTTGATAAATTGATAAAAGCCATAGCAATATCAAAATACTTAATCAGGAAAACATGAAGATATGAGCCGCATCACGACAAAACCAACATAGTGTGTTTGCGACCAGCATGGATCCAGATGCATCTGCGCAGTCTGATCAGGATCCATGCTGTTCGCTTACCAACTTTATTACAAGTAGAGAAACTGATAGCGAACAGCATGGATCCTGATCAGACTGCGGGGATGCGCAGGCTGGTCTGGATCCATGCTGGTAGCAAACGCACTATGTTGGTTTTGTCATGATGCGGCTCATATATGTTTTGGAATATTTAATATGTTGTAAAGATTCCTTGCAGATAAAATGTATCAGATCATGAAATATTTGAGTAGCCATCTAGGGCTATTTATTTATTTTATATACAAATTTACCTTTAAGCATGCATCATTTATGCTGAATAAAAAGCCATGAGCATGCATAATATGTTTTCACTGCATTTATTTTGCAACTTGTCTTGTATCTAGTGCTGTGTTATAAAATCAATCCAAACTAAGCAATATATACCACAACCTTTGTAAGGAAAGCACAATCACACATTATTTGTATCAGCTTTAACTGTTTTTCCAAGTTTATACCCCACCCTACCCCTGGTACAAGCAAACTTTTACCGTTATAACTCAATGGTGCACTACCGGTCACAACAGCATAGTCAACCAGTTGCGCTTATTTTCTGAAGCTGTAGCTGTAAAAGTTTGTTTGTACCCCTGGATTAGCTGGGAGAAAACCCCAAAATAATAATTCTGGAGTAAACTTATTGCTGCATATTATAGTATTAAGATTATCCAAAGTGATTAATCATAGTTATGTTATCTTGAATAAAAATGGATTTTAGAGATTTTAAACATGCAATTCTTAATTAAAAGAATGACTAACTATTTAAGTAGACCGAGAGTTTCAGAGACTTGTAAGTTTCTGCAGAGACCTACTGAATTTGAGCTGAGCTAACAGTAACAAGTTATATGGTTAGACTATATATAAATGCTCATGGTTAGACTATATATAAATGCTCAGACTGTAACCAGTAGCTCTATGCTGTTGTCATAAAGATAGAACTGGTGCTGATATGGTTGAAGAGCAGGATTAAGATGTGGATTTATAATGAGGATGGGGTAGATAATAAAGTGTTACAATAGAGATTACTGTTACTTTGATATAACAAGATTACAGAAGCTGTTGGAGGGAACCACAGATCATTCTTCATCTTTGAAAACATGTTGTGAAGTACATAGAAAGTATATAAAATGATGACAGGCCCCATATAGAGTCCTATCTCAAACTAATATACCAACCTTACATGATAAAACCTAGATTATGATTTGGGTTTCCCTGTGGTAGATTTGTTCACATTATGTTATACAAATTATGTAGGTGTAATCAAAGTCTCCATGAAAGCAATTAGGTTTACAGTCATGTATGTTTTAAAAGGGCAATCCCCAAATTTGTGTACACTAATATGTTTGTAGGCAGGTTTATCAAAATTTATACCTTAAGTTTGGTAATGAATCAAATCAAATTAAAAGCTAGAATTGAATATTGCATTTTTAATGCTATATGTTGGAAAAATAACAGGATTTGTTTTTGCTGATGCTTTTTTTATTTAATTGTTCAGACCTTAAACTGCTTATTTTGTTTTGATGGAATTGAACCTGCAGACAGTTTATCAAAGTAACAAAATTAAGCAACCCAGTAGCCTAAAGTCAAACCTGTTAACACCATTTCTATTTGCATCCCAAAGTCTTGTTCAAGTGACATATTGTATGGTATATTTACAGGTGCAGCAGAAAGTGGGAAGAGCACCTTGGTCAAACAGATGAAAATAATCCATAATGAGGGATTCACATTTGATGAACTTCTTGCATTCAAGGTAAGATATTTTAGCTGTTGGAATATTGGTACCAAATTTCCAAACAGCATTACAGCTTGGTCTGTCACATCGTCGGATACCCACAATTGATTAACATGTCACATAACATGCTGATAAATGTTAATGGTTCGGCCGTGGGTATCCGACAATGGGTCTGTCAATTCCTATACTATTTTAACTGATCAACTTTTTCATAATTATTTATATATCCAAAATATCCAAAAACATTAGGATTTAAACAGCAAACATAAGAGAATGGTGTTATGAGCAAAACAATCTAGATATGGCATATCTAAGTTTTATACTAAAGGCATTTTCAGAGAAATGCAAATCACATTGTTAAATTGCTGATTTTTTTGAAGTATAGCTACCTTTACTGGGGCATTAAGAGGGATTCAAAATTGTCAAATTTTAGAAAAAAATCTATTTTCAGGAGATAAACTCAATTATAAATTGTGACATCTAAACCAGATTTCCTATACATATTTTTTCCATTTCTGTATTAACAAATCTATGATTTTTTTTCCATATCACAATTTTACTTGTTTTTTAACCCCAAAGGTTCAACTTAGTGGATAGTTTTTGAGTGAGTAACTTGTAACATGGGTTTTACATTATTTTGACTGATATAGATACATAATGTACAGGTTAATTGTGTGATGTCAAACATTAAGTAGTTATCTATCATCAAGTCACTCAAGCCTAATTGATTTTAATTGTCTTAAATCTAGCAATACACAGGTATATGACAGGTGCGGGGTGCTTCATATTGTTATATTTTTACCCTACAATACACAGATGTCCCTTTATCTGTCTGACATAGATATATCTGTAGATATTGAATTGTTTAAACTGAAGCTACTGAATTGTTTCAAAGTTCTTATCTTGCTTGTTTGGTCATTAACAGACATATTTTATTAGGTTGATTCAAACTTAATGAAGGTTTTAGATTACATACAGTCACTCATCATTGAGGTATTTCATTAGCTTGAACAGACAACCAGTGTTTCTTGCAAAGGAATCATTTTAACTCAAATGTAGGTAATCATGCATTTTAAAGAATGTAAACAAATATTTGTTAAGAACAATTAAAAAAAAAAGCACCATGCAGCAATCTTAATACAATAATTTGGAATTAGCATGTAAATATTATGGATCTCTAGCTGTTCGGGTTCAAACCTTGTCAGGGGCAAGCTGTTGTTTCTATGAGCAAGAAACTACACTTATTGCTTAGTATTGGTTGATCCCAGGAACAGGTTCGAGAGTGTGTCTATAAGCTTATAGCTTCCTACACAATCAAACTAACATAAATTTTGTATAAATAAAATAGAATGAATTCATAAGTATTGTTGTAGCTTTGACAAAATAAAATATGATAACTTCAGTAAATGAACATAATGTAGTTACTACAGATTTTTAGTGTCATAGGCTCAATGTCTTAATTTCCCAAAACACCTTATATGAACATATGAGTTAATCTTTAATTACATTGACTATATAGTAACATATGCTGTAGCCCTTTTTTATCAAGCTGTATGGTTAATTATGTATTAACTGAGAGGAATATTCATTGACAACCATTTTAAGATAACCATACAATGACTTGAAGATGTAACAGCTGTTTGGTATATTAGGCCAAGAAATAAATGTTCATGTACAACTGTGACCATAAAACTTTCTGCAGAACATTAACTATTTTATTCCATATAAAAATCACTTTGATAGAGAATATAAATATTAAGTCATGCTGTTTTTATCAATATGAATAAGAGAGTACAACAGACAGACTAAAAGATCCAATTGCTCATATGCATTTATCTTGAAATGAAAGCAGAAACAAATATTTGACTCGCCTTAAATTTTATTCTTTTAATTAAAGATTTTTATTTTGATAACAGATATATACTAGAGAGATCCTTCTCAAATTTGTGGACATGTTAATGTATGAGATCAAAAGTTATACATTTTGTAAATTGACTCAAATTTTGAGTCATTTTGTACACAATTTTATATAAATTAGATGACATTTTGTATTCTTAATTACAAATTATGTCTATAAATCTCCCTTGAGAGCGTTTAGGATCGTTGACAGTATTATGGCGGGCAAGCCGAGCGAATCTTACTCTGTCACTGGGTGGCTTTTTTTGTCTTGTTGTAGTAACTGATCTTACAACTATAGTATGCATAGTAATTTGTAAGTTGATATAAATTTTCATTCTTCTCATCAAATTCATGTTTATTTGCATCTTCTCACTAAATGTTGTCATTTTTATGTGAAATGTAAAGATTTTCTTTGACAGTTTTGAATTAAAAATAAACTACAGCGGGCAGTAAATTAGAGAGATCTCATCAAAGAGTGGACAGTAACTGACCAAGCAATTTATGAAGCAGACCATTTTCTTTTTTTATCAGATTCGATCACCATGGGAGGGACGGAAATGACTTTTTTGGTGTTTGAGAATATTCTATTCTCAGATCATAAAATATAAAAATCAAATCAATGTTTTATTTGTTGATATAAATTTTATACATTAATAAATTGGCCCAATTGGTCTGATCATATTTGAGCCGTGCCATTACAAAACCAACTTAATGGGTTTGCGAACAGCATGGATCCAGACCAGCCTGCACATCCGCGCAGTCTGATCAGGATCCATGCTGTTTGCTTACAGACCCTATTACAAGTAAAGAAACTGATAGCGAACAGCATGGATCCTGATCAGACTGTGCGGATGCGTAGGCTGGTCTGGATCCATGCTGGCCGCAAACGCACTATTTTGGTTTGTCATGACATGGCTCATTTGTTTTTTAGGCAATTGAAAGAAAAAAGCTCACACTCGAGAGTGATATTTTATTGTGTTGTTTTTTTACACAATCTTGAATGAAAAAATGGTGAAAAAGTACAAAGCAAATAAATTTTTACTCAAATAGGACAAGCTTGATCATTATAAATTAAGTGGGAAAATTAGGGCTAAGTTATATTTACATACAAAACACTTCAGATTCATGCTATCATTTTACAATATGAAAATTAGGTGATATATTATCATAATTGAATATTTACTTAATCAATTTATCACCACAATTTATATAGATATCAAAGTAATTGATAGCATCTCAGTTGTTCACATGACCTTGTTAGGTTAGATGATTAAAGTGAAATTAAACCTAATTAATCTATTCTAAATGAATAACAGATTACATGGCTATGCTGTCAGTTTTATTATAATGCATTGATTAGCAAGTTTGTTGTTCTTTTGATTCTTTCTTTATGCTAATATACACAATGTACCTACATGAAATATTCAGTGCAAAAATATCTGAATCATTAATTAGACTACAGGTAAATATTGGCCTGTTGCTAGATATAATGAACTTGGCTGAAAGCTGTGACATCCATTCAAGATGAGGGCATTCATTGAACACTCATTTATATTATAAGTTATAAAAATTGTTGACAGGTTATATGGCCCTATATAAACGGCTGTTTGTAAATATAACCCGAGCCGCTAGGCGAGGGTTATATTCTGAGGTTTATGATTGTACTTTAATCATTAATTAGACTACAGGTAAATATTGGCCTGTTGCTAGATATAATGAACTTGGCTGAAAGCTGTGACATCCATTCAAGATGAGGGCATTCATTGAACACTCATTTATATTATACAAGACAGTTTTATACACACCTATATTAGGGAGTATTTCCTGTAATACTGTGCCTCCCGGCATACAGTCATCCAGCATTTGGCCATATATTTAGCCTTTTGTTAGTATTATCAAATGTTCAAACCTTCTTCTTGCATCTTTTATACAATACTAATGTGTCCCAAGTAACATTTTCTCTTCAGCCTCTGATAATGTAAGACATGTATCTTCAAAGAAGCTGGCATATTTTTTTAGAATAAGTTATGGTCATGTTGCATTTTACTCTGTCAAATCAGATTTACTTCTATTTAATTTGAATATAAAATTACAAAAAATATAAGAATAATATAACTATGTCATCATTTATTTTCAATACATTATTTAATCTATCATTTTGTGAGTCATTCCTATATAAAAAAAAGTTGTCTGTCTTCTTTAAGTCTAGACCCAACCTTTTTCATTGAATTATATCCTCTTTTAGTAATACAAACTGACAGGTATTTAACTTTGTGCATTCTCTAATACTTTGATCTTCATGGGGTGGTACCCCCAATTTGTAAATACATTTGTAAAGGTAGAAAATGCATGCCATTATGTTGTTATGGGATTGAAGAATAAATGACAAAAGGACATCACTTGAACAGTGTAATCCGAGTGTTATTGCATGACATGTAACCATTACGCTCAACCCTTATTAACTTTGGGTGTTGATTTTTTGTTACATACATGTATCAACTTTTCTCAAGATTTTGGGGCTGTCTTTTGTTATATTGTAACATTTCTATCTCTCTTAGCAAAAGGTGTTTATAATGAGGAAAGTCTATATTTTTTCAAAGGTTATTGAAACAAAATGTTACATTATGTTTAGCACAAAGCATGTCAATTGTGTAAAATTACTGTCTGGGTTTACAAACAGACAGATACCTTAATAGAGTGATGGTGCTGTTAGTTTAACCTCCAGACCATGGCAGAAATACACTTTAGATTCACCAGAGCACATATCAGCCACCACATTATTCCTGGGTAGGCCGTCAAGCAGTTCACCATTACTAATTTCCTTTGATTGCACAAGGAACTGATAACTCTCTGTACATGTCAGAGCAGAGGTACAGTGTGAATAACCATAGAAAGGATGTCATGATCAATCACAATGAAAATGATGTGCACCGTCTGGAAATTGAACCTGGGTCGGCAGATTCACAGTCCATTGCTGTACATATTGAGCTAACTGGACAGTACACTTAACAGGGTTCTAGCCATACAGCTTATTATTGCTCGATGCAAACTGCAGCTACATAATTATTTAGTTGTGTCATTTGTTAATTTTCTGACGTCTTTTCTTGGTCAAAGAAACTTTTTGTTGCATCATTAAACTTTTTGAATTTAAAGATAATAGAGATTGTAATTATATACTATTGAAAAGTTAGAATTAAGAAGTATTTGAAAGTAAAAAATAGTTATTTTTTTATTGCTGAATATGTACTGTTTCACTATCGAGAAAAAGTGTCAAATATATGAAATGACCACCAACAAACAATTTTATGTTGACACTTTTATTTTAGTTTTGATTTAGGACCTACTGCATGTATAATTAACATTCTTAAGATACATTTTCACCCGTTATCTTTCCGTATCAGATCTTTGGTCAACACTATCGCCACCATATCCTCGCCTTTTCATAGCAATGTCCTCAACCATTCATCCTTTGACTAAACTGAAAGAAGTTTGTTTTTGACACTTCATAAATTGTACTGCTATACCTCTGTTTCAAGGTTACGCGATCTGTTCTGTTTGGGTAGCGATACCTTCACGAAGTCATTAATTAACTTATTTGAAATCATTTGAATGCCCATTTAACGTTTTTAAGTCATTGATTACTCATACAAAGTATTAAATTGTTACTTTAAACATGTGCTTTTTTTTTCAAGTTGTGACCTTGATGTAACGCTATCGTGCCGTTATCATGTGGTTCGATACTTTGTACCTGTTATGAAGTTAATAATTATTTCATACAATTACAAACTATTACATTCGCTGGGGTCACAAAAGGTGTAAAACGTTTGTAAAATTCAATCTTAAACTTGTTGTGCAAAGTTTTTTACAGAATAATGAAGTCTTTATCTACGGTTACATTTCTATTTCATATCTTTATGAAAAAATGGGGTTGACTGTACTAAAGTGTAAGATCAACTTGAAAAGATTCAATTTTTTTTATTGTGGAGGGGGTTTGGTTGGTAGAATTCTGACTAATGATAATGTGTTATTCACTGACAGAAATGGTTATAAGTAAATTTGTATGATATTTTCCATGTTTTGCTGACAAACATTTAGATGACTATGTTTAATATCAAACATAGTCGTTATGAGCCAACATGACAGTACAAAATTTTCTATAACTGCATAGATGCCTATGCACAGGGCCGGCAAAATCAATTGTCCATATTGCCAAGGTTGTCCCACAGCCTCTATAGACAAGTGCAAATTTTCAAGAATTAACTATGTGAATATCATATGGATAAGTTAAGAAATGCTTTAGATAAAAAAATGGGCAAGTAAGTCAAAATCAGATATTGCCGGCCCTGATGCAGGTTAAACACACACCTCCCTTATACAGTCAAACTTAAACTGTTAAATAGATTTGTTTTGGATGAACCCTCATTTGCCAAGTTCTCCGGAAAAGAAGTCTTATTTGGTGTAAATCCTTATCACCACCTAAGCTTTGCAAAGACTTATTGATTGAAATAAATGGCATAGTATCTTAAATATATCATGTCACTTTTTCAGAATAAAAATATTCACCTCTTCCATTACATAATGATTACATAACATATCTTTTTCACATAAAATTTTGTAATCTGTAAGATTTTTATGTCTGTGTATGAGATAGCTCACTATGAACCTTAAGTGAAAGTTTAATGGGTATTAATGGATTGTTAAATGGGGTGTATAATGCTCAGTTTGCCCTTAATCAACCATAGCATTTCATTTAAAGCTGCTTTTATAATGAATTAAAGTTATATTTATTTGAGGAACATTATATTATATATTCAATTACATGTAATATTAAAGCAAAATGGTCCCTTATCCAAGCTTTAATGCAGGATGAAGTTAAGTCAGAGACTGAGCAATTGTTTTGCGAAATGACTTATTAATATGATCTTATACATATAGAAGCTTTCAAACTATCACAACAATTAACAATTACATCACTTCTAGTGCACAGGCTTGCATCATTTTCTAAATATTATACCTTTAACCATTACCATACCTTAAATTTCTTTAACAGACTTTAAATGGATATTCCAACTCATCTTGGTCTGTACTGGCCACATGGATAGAACTTACTGCAAATATTACAAATGAAAAACATTCCTTACACCAGTCTGAGTGAATATTCTGACAAGTCAGAGAAACTGATAGTTTGGCGTCATATATACCTTCGTCTATGTTTTGATAAATATTTTGAAGGTTTATGTCAGGAAGATATATCATAGTATCAAAGTAACATATAAAATTGTTTCTAACTTGGGTATAATCATACCCCTTCTGTTTCCAAACCATTGAACTGACATATATATTAAGTGGTAATGAGAGCTATCATATACCTCTTTCAGTCTTTAATGCATGATATCAGTTCACATGATATACTAATAATATGTAGTATTATAGGTCTATATAGGTCTCTTGTTTACCTACATACATATATAATACAATAATTATAAATCACTACGCAATCCTTGTCTATTTTGTGACCTATTGCGTGATGTATATTTTTGTTTTTTCCCTCTCTCTCCATTATTTTACTTAACCGCAACATTTTAAACATACCAAGCATTCCGGGGTAATACATTCAATAAAAATTATTGTCAAATTATGGCAGTAAATAGATAGAAAATAACAGTGTTTTATTGGTCCATATTTCTTATTCAGAACATTTTTATGTGGGCATAATTAACATTATAGGTTTTATACCTGTATGGAATTATGGTATGTAATATATATATTATAGTGACAGTGCTTTATATATGAATGGTAATGCTTGATGAACTTAATACAGTCACATCAAAGTGATCATACCAGTAAATGAAACAACTTTTAACAATTTAATTGTGATCAAAATTGATCAAAATTATTGATAACATTTTAGTGATATACCACCAAACTATAATAGCAGTGTTATATAAGTCTTTAATAATACTTATTTTCACTTGAGTTTTGTAAGCCTAAGATTTTTTGTAAGCTTAAAAAAACCCTTGTATTTATGTATTGAAAAGAACAACGAAGTTTGAAGTACATGTATTATATATTATTTTTTGGTATGAATGACATCACCTTGAAATCTTATCCCCCAAAAAAATCCCAAGATATTTTTCCCTTTACAATGTAATATATATAAAAAAGGAAGAGAGAAAAGATATTGTAAATAACTTTTTATTCTAATTTTAACTCAGATTTCATAAGAGAGGAATTTGAAACATCTAACCTGGTACTTGAATGACATCTTATTTTAAATTAGCAGGATGTTTTCTATTAAAGAATGAGTCAGGAATGTTTGTCTGAAATAATTCAATGAATTTATTTAAGGCAGGCTAATCATGGGGTTGAATTTAATCATTACATTAATTAACTTCTCTCGTATCTGATTAATTTTTCAAACAAACATTATTCAACAATACTTTTTTGTTTTTACCATGAATTGACCATACAATCAAACCATTCTAAAAAAATGAAATGCACATATTTAATCAGGTGCTTGTAAAGAACTAAATTTCTACAACAAGAAGTTTCTTAAAGTTTTGCATGAATTATATTTCTTAATTGGCTTAATTTTCATACATGACTATATTTCAATGACTGTCTTATCCAAACTCGTTTCAGATGCAGTCTGCCCAACATAATTCCCTATATAAATGGATAACTGTCATATGTTTATTAATTAAAAGACTTATGTAACCATATATTATTATATATTTTCAGCCTGCAGTGTTGGATAATCTAGTCAGTTCTATGAAGTATGTTCTCACTGGTATGGGCCTCCTCAGAGTCAACCTGGAAAATCCAAAAAATAGGGTACATATTTTTTCTTGTTTTCCAAACTTGTTACTTAATTGTTCTGTATTCTTTTTATATTAATGTATTATAATTTAAGTGATATTAATCCAGACATGACATAAGTAAAAATGACTGAAAGTGTTTGAAGTTTTTTTGGTTAAAGTAAAAGCTTTGCATTTTATGTCATCGGAAATAGACATCTTCAATATCTTTGATCACAAAACATTCTTTCTTGAATGTTTAGGTGCATTTGGTTGTACAATGTTTGATATCTTTAACATTCACAGTAGTATAATAATTGAGTTGTTTGTCTTCTATTTTAAGATCAATATAAAACCTTTACCATTTTTGCACATACACACCTTGCAATGTCTGTTTTTTATCTGCTATGTGAAATCGATATAGGGTTTGAGGTCACTTGTCTACAAACTTTTTAGAAAGATGAATTTTATTTCGAACAAGGGATTGATTGATGATTTATCAAGCTTTTGAGGGTCAACTCAATATTAAATTCTTCATACAATTATGAATCCGGAGTCAGGCCCTTTATCACTTTTATGAAGTTTATTTAAAAATCTTTTGATTTTTAAATCCTGTTTAAATTCAAAATCTGATATGACCATTGAATAAATTTAGCATGGTAGAAGTTAGCTATTATACGTATTTCTTACAGATTCACGCCCAGGTGATCCTCACTTGTAACAACAGTTTTGACCACAACAAGAACATGTTACCGGATGTGAGTCGAGCCTTGAAGTCCCTGTGGCATGACAAGGGGGTAAGGACTGCTGTGGCAAGAGGCTACGAGTATGAACTGAATGACTCGGCAATTTAGTAAGTGAAGTTGGAGCTTATATTGCATACAATACCACCTGAGTACTTAGTTCCAACAATGTTGGCGAGTAGTTAATGGTTGTTGACTTCAAACCACTTGCCCCTCACAGCTGTGGGTTCGAATCCTGACAAGGACTTTGGATTCTTTCATGTAAAGAAGCTATCCAGCTCGCTTACAGAACGTCTGTGGTTCTACTCAGGTGCCTTTTCCTGCCTGAAATAATGCACAAAAGGCACCTGAGGACTTACTCCACCAATGCAGCTGGAACGTCGCCCATATGACCTATACTGTGTTGGTGTGACGTAAAACCCAATCAAACAAACAAACAAGCTTACATATCTGTGCAGTCTGAACAAACAATATACTGTTGGCTATTTAGTTCTAGCAATTTTAGTATTTTGATACTGAAATGCTTAAAACTATAAGCTGGAGTATTCTATGTTCAATGAAGAGCAAGTCTATTAATCAGTTTTAGTGGTGTATGGGGTGAATAATTGATGGACAAATTTTTGTTGTCATTTATTGTTATTGATTTAGATTAAATGTTTAAACTTCTACATAAATGTCATTTAAACTTGAAATATTTGCATTTAGCAAAATTGAACCTTGTTTCACCAAAAAAAGATATAATACTGAGATGGATTTTCCCCAAGGGATAATATGTTTGATCAGGTTGTATAAGTGGCAAAATTACATAGTTTATTATTACCCCTCTTTTCTTTCTGAAATTTTGATATGGACTTGCCCTGCTTAGAATTTAGAACAGTCCATTTAAAGTTTAAGGGATTTCATTTACAAAATACAAAAAATGAGCACTCAGCTCTACTGTGGTAGCAAAGGTTAATCACATTCAGTTTGAGGAAGTAAAGTTAAGGGTTAGGAATTTGTAAATTAAGGTAAAAGGTAAATTAAAGATTCATATGATGTGTCTGAAATCGCAATAACCAATGAAATGTTTACATACAAAGATTTATTTTCAGCAACACATACTAGCACTTAATCACACAAACAGTAATAAGTCTAAAATTCAGAAATATAGATAATAATATATAGATTACTCAGTGAAAGTGTTATATTTTCCTGACTATGAAATTATAGAATCTCTAAGTATTTGCGATATTTCATCTAGTTGACAAATAGCATAATTATAGCACAATATAATGTAATCATTTGTTAGAATAATACCTACTGGTTATTCATGAATTAGTCATAAGGAACGTGTTTGTTTTTCAGTTACTTTGAGAACATGGAAAGAATATGTTCACCAAAATTTATACCTTCAGCTCGGGATGTGTTACGGGCACGGGTTCGTACTACTGGAGTCATTGAAACTTGCTTCCAGATGAAAGGATGCGTATTCAGGTACATTCTTGTAAATTATACATGTATATCTAGAAGAAAGTGTTATTGTAATTCTTCACATATGTTATTATTGTGACTGAGATCAAATAAATTAGAATTTGACCAACTTACACTAATCACTAAAGTGTGAGAAACATTTTTATTCCCTTGGATGGGGGATAAAGATTTGCCCTTGTCTGTCCATCTGTAGACTGACAAAGCAGTGGCATGTGGGAGCAGAACATGCATGTTCTATGGACAAATTTATAAAATGTTTTCAAAATTATACTGTTGAAGTTTCATAACCCATGATAAGGACCCTCACAATATAAAGTCCGCATATAGAAAATTGTCACTAGATCCCACTACCTTATTTTATTGGTATTGCAAATTATTATATTTCCTTATTTCCTTCATAAAGACAAAACTTGTTGACCTCAATTTGTACAGTCCAATACTGGTCAAAATTATAAGTTACACAACTGGGATTGTAAAACTTGACTTCATGCTAAAGAATTAATGCTATTACGTGATAAGAATTTAAACTAATCTTCTTTCATATTAAAAAAATGCTTTGTGTTATTTGGCATAATCATAGTTGGTTACCTGAATCAAGACAGAAATTTAAACGTATAAAACAATTAAGTGTTCATTCAAAAAAATATTTTTTGTAATGTCTACAGCATAGAATAATTTCCCTGTATTTATTTGTTGTTTGTGATATATATCATTAAATCATAATCATACAATATTTATTTATGCTATATTTCCATAAAATTACCATATTTAAATATAAATTACTATATAATGAAATTGAGGACAGTGTTTTTCTACTGTTTTATTGTATCATTATGTATCAAATTTCCACCATAAATGGTACAAAACATATCGAACACCTGTTTCGACAAGGTTAAAAGTTTTCAACTTATTCATAACTAGATTTCACAGTCATATTTGATGGGATTTCTTACAGTTTTTTTTTTAATTTTGTAAAAAATGAATTTTATAATGTTTAAATAATAGTTTTAGAGAATATTTGTTACTTAAGTTACCTTACGAAAGTTCTAAATGTGAAATAATTTGCCATACAAAAAGTAGCAAAATATGAACGAAGTAGTATTTTGACTTCCATGAATTAAGGTACTAATTAACTATAACTGTACTGAATGCCAAAAAGTAACAGATGAAAAAGATGGTTCAGGAAATTGACCAATGATTAACTTTTTTATAAAATATAAAAGTACCCTAAAATTAAAAAAGTTTTTGTCAGAAATAAAAATAAAAGCATTACTATTATTATAATAGGCCTTTAAGCTTTACCCTGTAAGTATATTTTTTATCCTCCAGCTGCAAGAATAGAATGTGTCCAAACATTTGGTGACAAGCCATTATTTACTACATTGCATTGTTTCTTTTTATGACTACAACTACAGTTAGAAGTGCATAAACGGTTATATGCAAATTTTCCTAAGAATATGAAAATATAATGTATTTTGCAAAATTCACTGCATTATAAATCAACATGTCATTGTAAACAAATTTTAATGTTCATATAAAATGAGAGAAGCTTTTCAGAAAAGATTTTGCTACAGTGGGTATATATATTCATAAGAACGTTTTATAGATATTTTATCTTAACTCATTGTTGATTCTAAATCATATTCACAGGTGATTATTACTTCACATCCGACTCACAAATGTCCCATATTGATATGAGCGGAAATGAAATCTATGACTTTGCATATAGATTTATATTTAGAAAGGAAATGATTTTATTACTGCCTACAACATCAGTACCGTTATAATTCATTTATCTAAATGACATAGAGATTTTACTGTTTCACCTGGCATAATTATGAATTTTTCTATTCCTATTTGAGAATAAATTTTAATTTTTATTTAACAGTTTGTATGTTTTTCTTAAAGTTTTGTTTTGTTTTATTCTTTGGCTCAAAATCTTGCCCAAAAGAAGTGTATTGAAAAAAAGTTAGGATTCATTTAGCTGACCAAAAGAGAAAAACTTAACAAAACACAATTATTAGTCCCCTACCGGTTTACCGGAGGGGACTTTAGGTTTACCCTCCGTCCGTCTGTCCGTCCGTCAGTCCGTCCGTCCACAAAACTGGATCCCGCGATAACGCAAAAAGTACTGAAAATATTTTAATGAAACTTGATATATGGATAGATGGCAGTATGGAGATTATGCACGTCTTTTTCTTTTTTTCCTATGTTGAAAATTCTGGTTGCTATGGCAACAAATAGACTGAAAATATGGCAAATTTTACACATAACCTGGATCCCGCGATAACGCAAAAAGTACTGAAAATATTTTTATGAAATTTGATATATGGATAGATGGCAGTATGGAGATTATGCACGTCTTTTTCTTTTCTTCCTATGTTGAAAATTCTGGTTGCTATGGCAACAAATAGACTGAAAATATGGCAAATTTTACACATAACCTGGATCCAGTGATAACACAAAAAGTACTGAAAATATGTTTATGAAACTTGACATATGGGTAGATGGCAGTATGGAAATTATGCACATCCTTTTTTATCTTCCTATGTTGAAAATTCTGGTTGCTATGGCAACAAATAGACTGAATTTCAAGATTTCTGATTCTAGTTTTTAAGTTTTTTCACTATAAGTTCTTTATTTCTTAAGGTATTTTCTTCAAACTTTAAATATAAGTTGCTTGTCATCAACCACATCATATGTGACAAGGTTTACAACTCTAGCACAAAATTTATCAGAATTACCTCCCTTGAACTTAAAATTTTCATGAAAAAAACATTGTTTTTTTTTAATAACTTCTTTTTCTGAATGTATCTACTTCAAACTTCATATAAATGTTTTTTATTATCACTCAACATTAAATTTTGTGAGTGTTCAATACTCTAGCAAGACTATTTCCAGAATTATGCCCCTTTTGAACTTAGACTTTTTTTTGAGAAATTGGTAATTTTTACTCCAACTTCTTCAATCATGATAGGATTTTAAAAATGTTATATTTTGATAACAGGGATGTTTAAAAAATAACTTTAGAGTGTCATTCAGTCCGTCTGTCTGTACATAAAAACTGTTTCCTGTGATCACTTTTAAAGAACTTTTTCAACAAATTTACTTAAAATAGGAACCTAAGTGAATGGCCAATGGCCCTTCAGAATGTTGCTTGGGCTCTTACCGGTAGGGGACTTATGAATTGCTTGCAATACTATGATAATTGCTTGTTCATTAAGGTATGACCCTTCTAAAGGGCACTATAAGGGAATGAAAAATTTACAACATAAGTCATATAGTTATATACCTTAAAGGACACCTGTAAAAATTTTCCATATGGTTTATGGCAATGAACACTTTTCTGAGGGAAAGCTTGAATATTAGAAGGGGTCTTTTTCAGAAATGAGGAAACTCTGAATAATCTATAAAATCATCCTAATGAAAAATGATTTCCTAAAAATTATTCTTTAGTAGAAACAAATAATAGCATTCAATTTACTAGCAAATCACACAATAACTGAAATGTTTCTCCTCAAAAATGTTTGAAATATATATAAAAATGTTACCCTATGCCACCCATTTTAAAGACTTGTTTGACCATTCTTCTACTTTAGCACCCTTATTTATTACCCATTATTATCTATAATAATTATATAATTAAAATAAACACTATACTATTAATTTCTTTTGCAAAGGGATCAGAGAGATATTTAAATAATGTTAATAGAAAAAAATAAAAAATACTTCACTATGTGCCCAAGAATCATACAAATACATCAACCTTGTGAATTTATTTTTGGACATCAAATGTTGTCAGTATTAATTTGTTGTGACACTGACAATCTAAAATGTAGCCATGCATCTATGTTACACCGCCTACAATATACTACTGTAAGGACGTCCTTTGTTTTAAAAAACATTGTTATTTAAATTTTTATCTGATTTTTATGTCATAGCTATCATGAATAATAATTGATTGCCTTAGAGAATAGTTGTTGTAAAAAAAATGTAATGAACTGAAATGCACTATATTTACAGATGTTTATCAGATTGATGTATGAAATTTTTAATGGCGTAGAAAAATGAAATTTTATAAGTTGCGTAGCAGCAGTGTTATTTAATCAAATGATAATCCTGTCATATGAGAGGTTATAAAATTATTTAAGAAAGAAAATATTAAGTTGCATAAATTTTCATCCTTACAAATTTAGTTTTTATCATTATCAGGATTAAAACTTCCTAATATTTCATGCAAATTTTGTTATTGAAACATCTAAAAATTAGAATAAAATAGATAATGGCAACAAGAATACTCTCCTAGGTTTTGTAAACAGTTATGCTTGGATATAATGTAACATTTACAGATATACAGTTACTGGATTACATTTTCACATTAGTTTTGAATATATTGTGACTGGGTTCCTTTTTAACACTTTAAAATATATTGTAACTGGAATAACGTATACTTTGTTTGACTTATGCAGCATATTATTATATGAAAGCTTATACTTGATATACAGACTCCAGTACAATGAATTTGACTTGATTTCTAGTATTTCACCTGATACTAGTAGTTTAATGAAAACTAATTGTTGAAAGACTACCTATTAATGAAAACATGTTTGAAAAAAGTTTCTGCTGTTTCAGGCTGGCACCCTTACCCAGTTTTGATTGTGTTCAGTGGTTGACTTTATTTTGCTGGTCTGTCTTAAGTTCCAGAGCATTGTTTGTTTATTGACAGACATGCACATCTCAGTTAATTATTACTGGAACTTTGGTTTAGTAAATCTTATTTTGGTTAAAATTACATACAATTTGGGGCATTCACTGTTTTAACATTTTGGGGTTACAATGTAGTTTCTATGACTATATGTCATCACCTAAGTGCAGTATAATGGGTTAATTCCTTCTAAATTTAATAAGAGTTAACCAGTTATTGCACTAAGTTGACGATGTATATAGTAAACTCAGATAACATTAGGGACTTATACCTGACCCTGGGGTCAATAGACACACATTTATCCTAGACTCTGCAAGAGGAATAGCTCCCCTAGAGGTGAAACATTGAAATGCACTGTGCACTCTGTTTCTGTCTGCTTTGAATATGGTAAATATGATTAAAGAATCATGCCTAATTTGTGAAGAAAAAACAACTAATTCAGCAGCAACATAGAACAAAAAGTGTTCACCTAAATAATTAACAAAAATAAAAGACCTGACATTGTGTGAGAGCTGTCTCACGTTCACAGGGGGAAAAACAGGATGCAATTTCACTTTATCTGTTGATACATGTTAGATAGTGGGGGAAATAAAATCCTTTCCACTCTATATTTAGATTAACTCTCCTTAAAAGTAAACATTTAAAATGTTCACAAGTACTGATAAAGGTATAATGCATTGTATTTCTTTTGCAAACAATACACTGCACCACAAAGCAATAAAAATGTAATTTAATGCAATGTAATGTGCACCTGAAGTTGTTATACTGTCATAAAAATTATCACATATTACTTCCCCTTATTGAATTTCAGTCCAGACAGTTTTGAACATGTGTTGTTGTTGTGTTTTTTCATGAAAATCATAAAAAATATGATCCTGATTCAAAATCTGTCTGCCTTGTATTATTTTCCTTACAAAGTTTTAACTGGCTTAAATATAATTGACTTGAAGGTATTAAATCATGATGGACATAAATACAGTATAGACATTTCATTTAATAATTATTGAAAGCTAGATCTTTGGTAGTAATCTTGTGCATTCATTATTGATCACAAAACACATTGATTTTTCACGGCATGGAGGAATTTCATAAAAGCCACAATTTTAATGTTTGCTTATTGTGGTATGTTTGACGGAGGAGATAAAATCTTTTTTGTAAACAACTTTAAAATGTTAATTTTCTATTTTACAACATCTCTTAAATATGCAGAGTGGAAAAAAAGGAACACTGGTAAATAACAATAAACTGAATGTTTGTATTGTGCTGTGGCTGAATTTTTTTGACATAACAACTCAATCAAATGACATTGAATACAGCATATATATAATGAATATTTACAGTATTCTCAAAATATACATTAATATACATGTATGCTGGTCCATAATATATTAAACCATACCATGCAAAGTCTGCCTCCATGCCATGCAATGTCTTTCCCTTTACCATGCAAATTCTGTCCCCATACCATGCAAAATCTGTCTCCTTAACATGCAAAGTCTGTCCCCATACCATGCAAAATCCTGTCCCGTAACCATGCAAGATCCTGTCCCTGTACCTTGCTAGATCCTGTCCCTGTACCTTGCTAGATCCTGTCCCCATACCTTGCTAGATCCTGTCCCCATACCTTGCTAGATCCTGTCCCTGTACCTTGCTAGATCCTGTCCCTGTACCTTGCTAGATCCTGTCCCCATACCTTGCTAGATCCTGTCCCCATACCTTGCTAGATCCTGTCCCCATACCTTGCTAGATCCTGTCCCTGTACCTTGCTAGATCCTGTCCCTGTACCTTGCTAGATCCTGTCCCCATACCTTGCTAGATCCTGTCCCTGTACCTTGCTAGATCCTGTCCCTGTACCTTGCTAAATCCTGTCCCTGTACCTTGCTAGATCCTGTCCCTGTACCTTGCTAGATCCTGTCCCTGTACCTTGCTAGATCCTGTCCCCATACCTTGCTAGATCCTGTCCCTGTACCTTGCTAGATCCTGTCCCCATACCTTGCTAGATCCTGTCCCCATACCTTGCTAGATCCTGTCCCCGTACCTTGCTAGATCCTGTCCTTGACCTTGCTAGATCCTGTCCCCGTACCTTGCTAGATCCTGTCCCCATACCTTGCTAGATCCTGTCCCCATACCTTGCTAGATCCTGTCCCCATACCTTGCTAGATCCTGTCCCCATACCTTGCTAGATCCTGTCCCCATACCTTGCTAGATCCTGTCCCCATACCTTGCTAGATCCTGTCCCTGTACCTTGCTAGATCCTGTCCCCATACCTTGCTAGATCCTGTCCCCATACCTTGCTAGATCCTGTCCCCATACCTTGCTAGATCCTGTCCCCATACCTTGCTAGATCCTGTCCCTGTACCTTGCTAGATTCTGTCCCCATACCATGCAAAATTAGATGAAAAAGCAGCTATTGTATAGGGTTTAGTTTAGATATATCGAGTTTTCACGTAAGCCCTTCTTTATATCATATAAGTTACTGCAGTTTTGAGATAAACGCTCAATTTAGGAATTTGTTACGGCTGTCCATGCTTCTTTTTGCCATAACTCTCATATAGTAAATATTCAGTCAGATATATCTGAACCACATTTATTTGTGAATAGTTAGTTTAGATTATTTTAAAAGTTGTTACTTTTAGATAACGATAGCCTGTCCTTGAGGTAATATTTAAATGTTCTGCAGTCTCATGTAACATTGATTCAAGTTCTTAAATGATTATGACTGCACTCTGCCTAATAGTTATTTGCACTGGTTAGTTCAGGATATAATATAGACTTAAACAAATAATTTTCTTTAATTAAAAGCCCTATTTGCAATAAAACTTAGATTAGAAGATTTAATTATTTATAAAAAAAAATTGTACATTTTCAACTTTTTATCAAACGAATTAGGAATTTTAGCAATGGTCTTTCAGGGCATGTTTAAGGTCTTGTTACAGAGAAAAGCTTTCAAATACTTAAAGGTTAAACTGTATTTCCAAACACTTACTATAACAGATCTACTATTGCCACAGGTATACTGGGCATGTCAGGCCAGCATGTGTAGAGCTATTGTTCTCACCCCGGTGTCAGCCGGCTCACACTTTGGTAAAGGGTTTATGTGCAAAGTGGTATCTCAAAAACTGCTTAAGGGAATGGGTTTAAACTTCGCACACTTTTTCTCAGTGATTATTTAACAAGATGGGCTGCTATGGGTCACATAACTGAGTTACCTTTTACAGAGTTATTCCCCTTTTCTTATTGTTAAGCAGTGAGTATAGTCTAGCAAGCGGTCTTGTTTTTTAGTTTTTTGTTTGTTTTTTATCATAAATGATAAAAAAGTAGAAAAATATCAGTATATTAGTGCTATCAAATGTAATAATTGGTAAAGGTGGTGAAATTCTCTATAGTTAAGAGGCTATGAAATAATACCATTTTTCAATAACACATTTTTAGATTATTTTTAAAGAGTTTACATTTTAAAGTAGGGAAGTAAATCCAAGTAAAGTACAAATAATCCCTTCTTTTCCCACACGCATATTTACCAATTCAGATAGAATCATGATAAGATTGTCGGCACATTTGGTAAAGCATATATCTAAATAATTTCTTCAATTTTGACAAATATTTAAGACTAAATATTTTTTAAAAGTTATCCAATTAAAGTATGATCAGAAAGACGGTTTCAATACCTACTAGTGTTAGGTATTTATATTGAAGTGTGGGGTATATATTTGTTTTAAAGCTTTCTTAAAGGAAAAAAGTCTTAAAGAGGATATTCTATAAGTGAGCCAGTTTCTTTAACTGGCTTATTATATAAAGACTTATTTGATGTATATATAAGGATCAATGCAACATTTTTTTTAATTATTATAGTCTGCATTTTAATAATGATTGTGTAAACTAAATGTTTCTTACAAACTTATTTTAATAAAGAAAGTAAATATTTTGATAACTTTTGTTGAAAATTTATATTAGCTTTTATATATTGATTTAAAAAATAAATCTAACTGTACTTTTATTACAAGTCTACCTTCCTTTGAATATCCTAAATAAATTAATGGTTATTCATCTCCTACATGTTTTTATTTGTTCATAGAATTTTGTTAAGAAATAAGGAGGGAATAATTTATTTCCTTTGTAGGTTTGAATTCTTATTTTCTGCATTTACTGTTTTACAAAAGAAAAACTATTGTTAATCACAGTACAATAAATGTTTAAACACGTTAGTATCTATCCAGCTAGCTTTTAGAATGTCAGTGGTTCTACTCAGGTGCCCGTTAGAGCTTGAAATAATGCATTGAAGGGCACCTGAGGTCTTTCTCCACCAGTAAAGCTGTAATGTCGCGATATGACCTATACTGTGTCCGTGTGACGTAAAACCAAAACAAACAAACAAAAAGTGCAGATTGATGTCTAAATGACAGTGACATCATTCTTGTCTGAAGTTTCCTTAACTATGGAAGCAGTTAGAAAATTGTCACAAGACCATAACATTGTCGATGACTACTTTAAATGGAATAAAACACAAAGAACTTTATTGCTTGTATATAGAGTAAAAGTTTAAAAATTGAATGATCATATATTTACAGATTGTTTGATGTAGGAGGTCAAAGGTCAGAGAGACGGAAGTGGATTCAATGTTTTGATGATGTAAAGTCTGTATTGTACGTCTCTGCACTCAGTGCATATGATATGTGCTTGCTGGAAGATGCTTCTGTGGTACGTAGTTTATATAATTGCCATTAACTTTTCCCTTGATATAAAATAGTGACAATTTGACCCGCAAACAGTAGAATGATAGGTCTGAGTGTATGGATGCATTACTTTTTTTATTCGCACACAAAACATTACTGAAATGAATTGTATTATGTATATCCTTATATATAAAATACTTTCAATACTGTATAGTTTGAAAGTGCCATTCCAAACAATGCTCTATGATGACATGTATATTTTTGATATTCTATATTGATATATATTTTATATATCAATATTGCCTGTTTCAAATTTGGAATGTTTTTCATCCTTAACAATTGGAAAACATTTAGAAACTTCTTTTCCTTTTATTTTTCAAACCCAATATTCACAGCTTGTAATTTTTTCAGCCCAACCTGTATTTCATAATGTCTTACCTGTTTACTTCCTCTACAATATATAAAACTTTATTAGAAATACAACAAAGTTGCTTTGATAAACACTGATATCAATATTCTTTAGTAATAGTATTTTATTTGTCAAAATTATATCTATTTCAAATTTATGTACATTTCAAATAGCATGTTATTTATTTATCCCATCTCAATTAATTAAAATAAACACTCAGAATTGAATACAGATGAGTAAACAAGGGAAATTATTTGGTATTTTTCTCTATTTAAGCCAATAGGAGTTATCTTTTCATAGAAATGTAGTTATGGCTGTAAGAGTTATTTCCCTTTGACTACTTATTGACAATGGTTTATTATTATCTTTCAGAATCGTCTGCAAGAGAGTTTAAAATTATTTCGGGGTATTTGCAATAATCGTTTCTTCTATAAATCATCCATGGTAAATAAGTTTGCTTATTTTGTAAATTGATTTGATGAGATACAAATTTTAAAAAACTTCAGTTAAAATATTGAACTTGAAAATTTTTATTTAAGATACAGTTTGGTAGGTGGTATTATGCTTTGAATGAGCAAAATGTGGATTTAATCCTTTTAAAAATGATAATAATTTATTTATTTTAACTTTTGATGAAAGGTTCCTTTGATATAATACATGTAATATTGTTTGGAACTGTAGTTTTACATCATGCCAATTTTTTTTAAAATTTACAATCTTATAATAATGGAATTGTTTATAAGAAGTCTATGATTTTTATATTATTTTTTATTGTACTCTTATTTATTGTAGATTGTTGCATTTAATTAGTCATTTCATTTTTCCAGATTTTGTTCCTAAACAAGGTTGACCTGTTTCAAGATAAAATAAGGTTTTCAGGAAGACATCTCAGATATTTCTTCCCAGACTTTACAGGTAAGCTGGTTTATACAGAATTTATTTAAGTTCAATTGTGTAGGAAGCTAGAAGCTTATAGACACAATTTCAAATCTGTTCCTGGAACCAACCAGTACTGAGCAATGAATGCAAAGTTTCTTGCTCAAGGAAATAATGGCTTGCCTCTGATGAGGTTTGAACCCATGTGGCTAGCTATCATTAGATTACTTGTCCTATGCATTAACCACTTGGCCATGCAGCCACTCACTCGGCCAAGCCACCACTACTGGCAAGTTGTAAGGTGTCTTTACAGCATAATCATTTTACTTTTGGCATACATGTATTAGCTATTATTGCATCTCTTTAAGTAAGTGATATATAAAGATACTAAATATATTGTCATTCCAGATAGTATTAAAATGAAACTAGATTTTTTTTTCACACAGACTTTTAGATTGAAAAAGTCTCCAAGTATATATTATAATTATCAATTTAAGTAAGCTTTGATCTTCTTGCAAGTATCATATTACCAGTCCATTTGATAATATAGCTTTTTAAAAGAACATTTATTGTGTCATCTTTCTATGAGATATGTTGCCCAAATTCAACAGTACAACTAAAATTAGCTACATTGTCAACAATAGGCAAAAAGTGATGCAAATGCAGAAATATTTTGAATTGGAAATAAAAGTAAGGAAATTTATACTGACACTATCAGTTCAAGTTATAATATTACATGAAGTGCTATATTTTAATATAATTCTAGGTGCCGACAAGGACGTTGACAGTGCAGCGCGGTTTATTCAACGTATGTTTCAGGAACAAAGTCTTCTCCCTGGGAAAGTCATCTATCCACACTTCACCACTGCCACAGACACTAGCAATATACAAGTTGTGTTCCAAGTTGTCATGGACACTATTCTCAGAGAAAATCTGAGGTCAGCATCTATATTATGATAGTTACCATGGTTACCTGACATCCACAGCTCATAGTCATGCATCAGATCTCATATGCAGTTATGTATACACATACATAATTATATTTCTGAAGAAATGAGAATCAGGTTAACAAGCATTCAATACTAATTACCATAACAACCATTTATTTATTTTTCAAAAATGTAAATCTTAATCAATCCATTTCTGATAGCTTTCTTTCCATATTTTTTTCTGAAAAAGTAAATTTTTTGAAAGTGAATAGATGCAAATTAATACATTCCAGATGTCACTTTTGCAATTGCAACAAGTTTTGCAACCATATAAAAAAATTATTTTTTGAGTGTTTTGAAGAAGAAAATATGTATATTTCTGTCATGGTTTTTATTTCAAATATAAAGATTTAAATAATAAGTGCTTGATATATTTTTATGTAGGGATTTTGAAATGAAATATTTCTATTATTTGTGATATGTGCCACTGCTAATGTCACATTAAATTAGTTATAGAAAATGACAAATGTATATTCCATCTTCTTATTTCAATTGTATAAGACAGGAATCACCATTTTTTGATATCATAATGTAAAAATTAGTGAAATTTTCAAATTTAGACATTTACCTTAAAGTCTATTATTTTTTTACTTATTTTGAATATTTTCAATTCCAGACTTTATGATTAAAAAAATCATAGACTGCTATTACAGTATTAAATAGCTTCTTTTAGCTTGTATCTATATGTTTAATATTCTTAAGTAAATATGTTTGAACATTCTTACTCTCACTGATTATCTAGATTTGTTGAGAAATGAAATTTTCACAAAGAACAATTTTCTCTTTGAAAATTTCATTATATCTAGAGGAAAGACTTAAACATAAGAGACTATAGTTTTTGCTATTAAAATGAGCCAAAGTTCAAAATAAAGAAAAAAAATGAGAGAATATAATTTACTTTTATAGGAACTATTCAAATAAAGTTCCATCTTTTCATCACAGGAGATATTTGACATTGTCAGACATAGACAAAATGGCTCCTCAGAATTGATGATTTAAGTTAACCATAGGTCGTTGTATGATAAAGTTGTTATGATCTGCTGAAATTCTAGCAAATTGTTTTGAATAGTTTGTTTTAGTATTAAGAATTGGTTGTTTTGATTTGTAGAAAATGTACATTTGCTTTCTGGTGTGATTAGTTTATATTTTTTTGAGAATTCTTATTTTTTAATCTTAAAAAGAAGCTTGTTTTTTTTAGATATTTCAAGGTATCATTTATTCAGAAAGACTTGGCAGTAAAATATATTTATAAAGAAAATCTTTACTGTATATACTGTTTCATAAGTCAGCTTACTTGATGAACCCTATGAGTTAGATAAGATAAACTTATTTTTCAATAATAGGTGAAACAGGAAATGAGTTGCTTTAATTGCAGTTGTAAATTAAAAAGTAAATTGTTAACTCCCTTTTCTTGAGCTATGAACTGTAAAAGAAATGTTTACTGTTCATTCCTTGTTATAAATATTTTGCTCAGACAAATATAGGAACATATTAATAATACTTCAACAATTTTTATTTCAAGAAACATATTAATATTTTGTGAACAGATCATTTTCTATGAACATTGATGAGAAACTAATTCCACAATGAAATATTTTACAAAATAGATCTGTCGTTCAAAAAGATATATTTATTCATCATTATCAGTTCAATTCATTTCCAGTAAGAGATTTTTATATTATTTTTTGTTTAAGATTTATTTCAACAATTTTCATATTCTTTTTGGAATTAGGTACCACAATTTGCCTTAGTATAAGTGGCTACCGTCCATTCATACTTAATTACTATAACATTAAGATTTTTATCATTCACTTTCTTACTTATCTGAATTTATTTTTTTTGTCCACAAACACAGAGGGATGATGCAATTTTACTGTTTTTATTTCATTGCTTTTTTGTGTTCTTTTTTAACTTTCATTTATATATTTCTTTTATTTTTATTTCAATGAATTATTGACCATTCTTGGTAGTGTTGTTAACCCTTGGTTTATACAGAATTTATTTTAGTTTGATTATGTATAGAAATCTATAAGCTTTATAGGCACTCTTCCCAGGAACCAACCAGTACTGAGCATTGAGTGTAAAGTTTCATGCTCAAGGAAACAACGACTTGTTAACCCTTAACATTATGAATTTAAGTAATAGATTTGCCCAGCTTTGAATTTGGAATAGTCAATTCAAAAGTGAAGGGATTTCAATATAAAAATACAAAAATTGACATGCCAGGAGTATTGAGCTTAGTGAGGCTGCATGGATGTACAGGCTTGTCTTGGTTTTTACTTGTGGAAAAACCTAATCATTGGTTCCAGCACATTAATAGGGTCAATATTTGTTGATGAATTTGTATTCAGCAAACTTGTTTGGGAATTTGATTGTATTTTTCAACAAACCTTTACGTTCACAGATCAGACTAATTTGTGCAATGAATAAACATTTCATCTGTATTATTTGCTTAATGTTGTTGAATATATTTCTCAGAGTCTTCATATTTTGAAAGATTCACTTATTGGAACAGTTTTAGAGAATTGTTTCAAGTCTTGAATTTGTCTTGTCATAATTATTATTTTATCAATTTCTTACAAGTAATATAAAACCATAAAGGCCACTTTGATTTAGTGTAGAACAAGTTTCCACCATTGGAAATGAATTAATAGATGTTAGTTTTTCAGTTCAAATGAAGGCAAGGTTAACATATATATGAAATTGTTCTTCGGAACCATATTTTCTGTTACAGCCATCATTTTCCTTCTGGACATGTCCTATAATACATGAAAGTATTTAATCTATGTTAATCTGTTATGTTGATAGAGTGGAAAATATTGTAAATTGGAAAATTTTGTATCTTTTTCTCAGTTAAAATCCACTCCGACATCTATCTTGAAAAAGAAACATTTAAATATTGTGTCTTCTTGTTTGCTCATAAAATTTGGAAGATACTTTGTCTTCCATTGAGTTATTCTATGCAGTAATTTCGTATAGTAAAGAAGCCTGTAAGTTTGGTAGGTTTAGTTATTAAAGCTTTGTAAATGCATGCATTTTTGTTATTGATCTCATTCATTGATATAACGGTATAAATATAACATTAAAATGTTAACTATGCACATTTGTTTTTGAATGATTGGGTAAACTGTAATATAAAGTTTTGGAGTTTGCAATGCTTGCTAAATGTACATGATGTGAAGTGCCTTATACAATGTAAAACAATGTGGTTGTGACCTTATAGTATTATAAATGTATGAAGTAAATGTTGCATTTTAACACTCACCCTGCTGATATTGTATAATGAAGAAAAAGAACTGTCTTGGATGAATTAGGAAAGTCAGTTTAATTAAAGTCAGGATGTTCAAATAAAATTTATAAATATTAAAATTCAGCCAATCGTAAAGAGGCTAGACAGACCCTACAGATGTTCAGACCAACGTGACTAATTGTTGCAAAGGGTCTTCAGTATTCTAAGGGTTATCTTAGTTTTAAAAACTGTTTTAGTGTGGTTATATCAATTTATGTGTTAAGTGGCTTTGATCGTTTTATTGAATTGATTTGATTATTTTTCTTTGCCCAACAGGTCTGAAATAAATGGTTATTCTTGATATGTGTAAAAAGTACAGATAGTTACATGTATTTAATAAGTTTTAGAACTATTGTTTTGTTTGTTGCTTTGCTACATTGGCTTATATAATAGTTTGTTTTCTATTTTAAACTTAAACTGCCAATTACTGCGACATTAAGGTACATTTCTAAGTAATGTGTTCTGAATTTGATTTTGTTTAGATAATAGATAAGCATTTTATTTTTGATATCTATTTTTGATTAGGCAAATTTCTTCTTATCTGAATATCTTAAAAGACAGACAACTTACAGCAAACAAACAAAACAACAACAACAAAAATAATACAATGTAATGCAACAGATTCTGTTAAGTTTTGTTAAGTCTAGGTGGATTGTTTGTCATGAAGTACCTGGACATTTACAAGTGTAAATTGGTCAGGTATTGTGCAGTTTGTAAATAGTCGTTTAAATATTTGTTACATTAAATAACTTCATCTTGTATATATACTACCATTGTTAAGTTATGTTTAATGATGTATTTTACTGACATTGTTTTGGCTATGTGTACCAAATATCTGATTTATATAAATTGGTGCAAATAAAAATAGTAATGTATAAAAAGCTAATAAAAATATTAAATGTATAGATAATTTGTTTGTTTCTTTACCTTCAAATATTCATGACTGGCTTGGTCAGAGCACCTGTTTCAGTGGTTTCATGTCCATCTACCATACTGTGATTTTTATTGTCGGAAATTGAGCCAAAACTTGGATAAAGCATTACACCTTTTACTTCCTATATTCAAGAGCCAAAGGAAGCTTTGATTACATTCTCATAATTGTCAGATGGAGTTCCAAGTATTATTTTTCAAATATTTTGTCATTATGTAAAATGGGATGTTCAGTTTTGTCTTTACACAACGACTCATTTGTCTCCCAACTCTAGGTAACCAAGCTTGATTGTAAGGTCACATTTAACAATCCCAGTATATAACAACTACATGTATTTATCAAATAGATAAGGACTCAACATGTTTTCAAGGGGAAATTCATTTTACTGAGGACACAGCTATCTAATCGTCACATTTTTTTCTAAAAATATACTATTACCAATAATGTATTGCTATAATGTTTTAAATACATGTAACAGAAGTTTATTTTCATATAATTTAATTGTTAAGATGTGGAAATTTCACTTCAACTTAATAATTATATACTATGTTTCTATTACAAAGAGGATCAAATGTACCACGTACTCGTATCTGTCTCATTAGTTTATTTAAAATGAAGCTATAAATGTGACTGAAATATTCAATTGATCACTGAATTGATACGATAACTTGTCATGTTATTAACTTAGAAAAATCTGAAAAGAAAGATTTCTCACTAGAAAGAAGGAATCACAGATTACATTTCATTGTGTTCAACAGATACACTTAAAAGTACAAAACTTCTCACGCACCTAACACCAAACTCTGAGCAACAAACCTAGACAGTTTCAAGTTAAATACTTTCACATGGATTATGAAAAGGAAATCTGCTAGTTGTAAAAAAATGCTACAAAGTCTGAGTTCTACATTACAAAGTCTATAGGGTCACTTTTGGACAACACAGTTAATCGAAATCGATTAATTTGAAAGTGATATCAGGAATGACTTTTATTTGGATCGTATCTAATACAATAAAACTATCTAATAAATTGTAAACACATTGAATCAGTTTTTATATTTATGGATTTATTTCAAGACGTCGAAAGAGTGATGATTGTATAATAACATATAAGACATTTTTAAGCAATATGATTGCAATGTTGCTTGCATTTCGACTGGTAGACCGTTATCTTCAACGATTGCATGTATACTAATTGATGTAATACTATCCGATATGTGTTTTGAAAGGAAACTATATAAATGGAAATAAGTTTTGTACTTTGACTGTGGCATATATTAATGTATAGCCGAACTGTAATTTAAGTCTTAACGGCATCAAAATTGCCGACATCCTTCGTTTCTTGTTATTGTTACATGTATATATTATTTCTCAATTTCATATTGCATGAGAGTACTAGTATGTTAAAACTTGTGTAAGACAGCATGATGTTTTGTAATTATATTACAAACTAGATGCCCAGTCTTTTAATGATAGTTGCTAAGTAAATATATAATTATGTATACTTCACTTCTAATATACTTCAAATCAACTTTAAATATCAGTTTTTAAATAGAAAATGAA